CAAAGGGAAGGGCTGGCCGGCCGAGCAGGGAGGACTCTTCCTCAGGCTCTGGGGCCGGAGCATAAAAAAGGAGCCCCCTCTGTACTGGGTCTTGTTGCGGGCAGCAGGCAGGCGGGCAGGAATGGGACCTGCTGGTGCTGCAGACTGGGACTTGCTGTTTCCTCTCTTTGTGTTTGGGAAAACTCCTCCCTGGGGTACCAGGTTTTCCTGAAGGAGGCTCTGGAGCAAAAACTGGAGAAGGCCCGGGAAGAGGAGCTGAGGAAGGCAGCCACCATCATCCGAGCCCACGTCCTGGGCTACATGGCAAGGTCAGTGTGGTGCTGGGAACCCTCTTCGCTGCCTGCGCTCCTTCCCAGGCTGCTGGGCTGGAGCAGGGCTCTCCCTTCTCCCCTCCTTTCCTCTTGCCCCTCCCCCTCGAAAACCTCCCCGTATTACTAACAGGCAGCAGCTCAGCCTGGTCTTTCTCTATCGCCTGTTTCCTGTTTGCACCTCTCTCTTCACCCTCCGCGAAGCTGCCGTTCGTCTGCAGATCCCCAGCTCTCTTGCCCTGCATTGGGAGATTCCCCTTCCCCAGTGTCTCACACAATATAAGGACACAGACCACTGTTCCCGCCTTTTATATCCATCTGCCGTTCCTGCCCCCCCCCCATTGACTTCTCTTCTGCCTGCAGAGAAGGAGGAAAACATTAAGCAGGCTGACTTTCCATCCCAGCGGTTTGTTGGCTCTCCATCTGTGTCCTGCCTTTTGAAATGTGCTGTTATCTTTGCATGCTTGCTGGAACAGGCCTTTGTCTCGGGTTGTGCTAGCAAATTGCTCTGCGTGCCCATTAGGACAATCACCTGTAGTCTGTAAAAACCCTGTGATCTTGCTATGAAAATTCACAAGGGGCCGCCGTGCACGTTCCAGGAATATTCCATCGCAGCTTGGAAATTGGTACTGCAGAAGGAATTTAGCACCCTGAGATATCGGCTTTATGTTTTGTGCTTTAAAGTTTATAGCTTCCTTTAAGGTTGCAAAGGGAAGCTTGAAAGTGGTGTGGGCAGTGCCTGAAGAAATCTGAAATGCCATTGGTGAGCGAAGTATGGAGGGAGGAGAACCCAGTAGAACTGCCAGGAGGCGAGGCTTCTGCACCCTCCCTCCATAGCCTTTTCCCTTCTCTAGGAGCAGCAGAAGTAGAATAAATTGTGACAATGAGCAGAATAAGTTAGGCAACCCCCCCCAACAATGCAACACACAGCTCTTCTTAGCATTTTTTAAAAATGCAGTGTTTATAAAGACTTAAAAATAAATTTATGGCAAGAGCAAGAGGACTAGACTGTTGGTTGATGAACAGAACCAGGGAAAATACCTACCCAAGGGGGAAGACATTGCTGTTCAGGCCAAGAAACCAAAGCTCTACCTGCTGTCTACAGCAGTGGTTGAGTAGACAGCAGTTGCCAGCATGAATCTGCCAGGCAGGGGGAAAGTCTTTTTGCCCGAGCCGAGTGCATTTTGAGGGTATAATAATGAGCCCTGCCTAATCGGGACTTACTCCAGTACATGTGAACTGGGACGTTCTTCCGGTCACCAGCTCCATTTCTTTCATCACAATGCACTTACACTCTCCCCGCCCACAAAACGAACTGCATCAAAACAGCAGAAATTCTGTTTCAGTGGAATCCTGCAGCTGGCACACAGTATCCAAATAAAGAGAATTTGCATTCAGGTATTTATTTTGTGTAGGTTTGTTCTGTTTCTGCCAGTCATATGAAAGAACCACTTAGAACTCTAGAGGAAGATCTACACTGTCATCATGTAGAGGGAGGCAAACCGTTAAGGGTACCATTAATAAGTAGCAAATGATTTAATAGTTTAGTTTACTTTTCCAGTTTTTCCGCCCACTGGAGATGAGTGCCATTTGGGTTTTCTGTCTTAAGCTGTTGATACATGAAAGACTTCCAAGCACTGGTTGTCCTGCTCAATTGCCACTTTGGCATCTGTGATCCTGAGCAGAAGCAATGATGGCAGCAGTATGTAGAGCTTAGATTGGATGGAATAGGTATAAAGAAGGCTCCTGGGTATACTTTTATAGCAGAGAAACTACAGATGGAAGGAGGTGCTGAACTCTTTGCACATCCTCTTCAGTTTCACCATCCCTTTTCCCCACCAGTGTGTGTCAAGAGCCCAGCCGGGGGTGGGGGGAGAGACACCTGTGGAGTATATATGGGGTGGGGGCACAAGGAGAGAGCATGAATAAGGGGAGTTCCGCTTCTTGTCTTTCCTCTCTCTGACATCTCACTGCCCTTGCCCTAAATTCCCACTGCATCAGTCTCATACGTTATCTATGGGTCAATCGCCTATTGCTACTTCATGTTTAGGTTGAAGGGATTACCCTAAAACTGCACACAGGCTTTGAAGCTCCTCTTAGCAGCCTGGTGTGCTGGTATATGTAGAAAACAGTTTGGGGTTATATCGATCTAACAGAAGCTTTAATTCTCAGGATGCCGAATTCTGAATGAGTATCTATTTTAGTCCACACCTAGCGAATTCAGAGGATTGCAGAGTCTACTATAATATATCACTACCTCACCAGTAATGGCTGGATATACAAGCTAGGAATGATGGAAGTTGTAGTACACCTTGAAATCACTAGGTTGAGATGCGCTGGTTTAACACAATGGCCAAATACCTTACTGAGCTTCTTCTGAAGAGGAAATCCTGACAGTATAGTAACAGGATTGGGCTTATTGCACAAGCATTGCCATTATGCAGGCAGTGATTTTTATGAGGGAACCCCACTCCATGCTTGCCCAGTGGTGAGTCTTCTGCAAGCGGCAGGTCCCACATTACAACATTAGCAGGACTTTCCACTCTGCAGAAGCTTGGGAGGATATTAGACTATACGATACTATTTATATCTGTTTTTGCATGACTGTCTCCTGCTAAGGTATGTCAGGAGCTATGAATTCTCAGGGAAGCCCCTTTCCTAGTGTAAAGTAAATTCTATTAGTTCTTCAAATTGTTATCCATAAACAGGATGGAGGTGAGGGATAACAATTATTGGCCAACTTGGATTTACAAAGGCGGATTATATTAGAAGAAATGAAAGAACTGGTTTCTCCATGAGCCAAAAATGTTGGTGATAGGAGCTAGAACCTCAGTTTCTCTGTGGCTTTTGCATAGATCCTTTTGACCATGGGCAAAGCACTTGGCCTCAGTACCAAATGGCAGAAATAAATCCTTGTATATCTGGACTAGGAGGGCAGAACTTCCTGGCAGCTGAAGTCTAGTACTTGCTTTTCCTTTTGCAAAAATGTCCCATTTTCTGGGATAGCAGGCAGGATGACAATGCATGGCTGTGCATAGGAAAAGCTCTTGAGCTCAAACCGATATACAGTATTAAGATATAATGACAGAATGAACTGGCCCTCTGCCCTCCCCCTGCTCTTTTGATGGCTAAAAGGACGTGCCATTTTTGCCAGAGAGAGGGAATCTCTTCGTTAGTAGGTTGATAGTGTACTTTGTAAAACTCCAGAGTCCTTCCTCTTGTTTTTTCTGCTTAGCAAAAGCTAATCTGATGTAGAAACAGGAAATGAGCAGCTCCCAAGAGATAGATGCCTAGAGCATTCCTGAGACTCAGGAACCAGGTGGGTGGCAGATGGAGCAAAAAAAGGCATTGTGGAAAGACTGGCTTCCTGGGGAAAGAGTTTTCTGGAGAGAGGTGACAGTGATTGTGCTGATTCATCGCATTTGGCATCTTAATGCTACTAGGCTGGATAGTGTCTGTGGAGATCTGAGTATGGGAAGGCTATTGACTTTAACCACCATCTTCTGTTGACCTAGGAAGAGGTATCGGAGGGTGCTAGCCAGTGTTGTGACCATCCAAAAGAATTATCGTGCTCACTTCTGGAAAAAGTCTCTCCAGCACCTCAAGGCCTCTGCCATTGTCCTGCAGAAACACTGGCGTGGACAGCTGGCTCGCAGCCTCTACCAGCACCTGCTCCAAGAAGAACAGAGGCGGAAACAGGAAGCCGAGGAGCAGAGGCAGCGAGAGGAAGAGAGGATTAAAAAGGAGGAAGAGGAAAGACAATGGCAAGAAGAGAGGGCGCATAGGAGGAGGCAGGAGGAGGAAGAGAAGAAGAGGTATAAAGCAGTCCGTTCTATTTCTGTGGCCTGATGTTCACAAACAGTAACCGGAGCAGGTAAACCTGCATTTGGACTGAACCACTTCAAACTGTAGGGATGAGGAGGTTCCTTATGAAGAATTTCCTGAATATAGAAAAACGGATGCCGCAGAGAAAGGTTTTAGCCTTGTCTGTGAAGTAAAGAACAGTACGTTCTAGGGAAGTTCTGAATATATTTACACTGTACAATTGCAGACTCTTGAGATGGCTTTAACATCATGGCTCTTTTGCTGATCAATGACCATAATAAAACATTTGATTTGATTTGAACATCATGGCTCCATCTTGCAGAACCCTGACATTTGGAGGCTGAGTTTGGTGCCTTGGCAGTTATAGTGGTATTGAATGGCTTGTAACGATGGTTAGATCCATGCTTTTAAAATAGTAAAATAATATCCCTGTAGTTTGCTGGTTCCCAGGGTAAACCAGAGGTTGCAATCCATTGGACGGCTACACCACAAGAGGATATGTGATAGCTGAGCAAATACACAGGGCAAAAGCTGAGGTGGCCTTGGCCTATATAAATGTGGGCCGCACTTTGTTGAGTCAGTGCCGGATAAAGGTGCCTGGTTTTCTGGCCTGCCGTTCTTTTTAAATAGGGCAGAACCCCAAATCCCTTAATTGGACCAGTGGCGAGTCAAAAACCTACACTCTGCCTTCTCATCTTTCTGCTTTGTCCATTCAAAGCACACCTGAGAGAGCCTGTTAGCCGTTCACCTTTTGGTATTCTAAGCTGAAATAAATTGTCTGCACCTCCTTAAGTTTAACTAAAGAGCATATTCATGTGACAGTTGATTTTTATCTGCTGCAAGGCAGCCCCTCCATTTCTCTTTTGGCGAGTGTCCATATGCAGTCTGCACTGCAAATGATTCCAGGTGTGTTTCATAGCAGCTAGTACCTTTTCTGAACCACCAAGATCGCCTTCTCATAAGCCCTGCTTTCCAAACAAGGTGCTAAGGAAGAAATGCTGTTGGTTTGAAGGCTTTGCTACAGCTCACGTAGTTTTTAACTAGGACATAAACAAGGCAGCAGTATCATTGAGAATGGCATTGATCTCAGCAGAAGCAAAAGGAAGGCCATAGTGTCCCTTAGTTGTGTGTGCTAGCTCTGGCGTACTGGGCTGTGGATTTTATTGATGAGTTTTGTGCTTTGTTTCAAACAGAGAAAAGGAGCAGTTGGAAGCAACACTGCAAATGGCTCAGGTATGTTCGGTGGTGTCTCCTGCCTCCTGCCTCTCCTTTCAGTGAGAGTCAGCCAAATGCTAAAGTCTTCTTTTTCTCAGGGACAAACTTAATTCAAACCAATGCCTGCATTATGTATTTCTTTCTTGTGTTGTTGTGATAACATACTGAGGAAACACAGTAGACGATATGGGGCCATGCGTAGGGCCAAGCTTCACATGATGCTAATGGCATCATTTCAATTTAAATTAACTTTTTAATGAGGACACATAGCAGTTGCTGAGATAAAGACATTGATCAAAGCCAGGGCTGCTCTGTGTTTAGAGATCATGTCAAAAATTATTCCACCCTCTCGGGAAGCTCCCGTTGGAGGCACTTGAGAGCTTTCTGCTTAGGCCAAACAGTAAGTTCTAGGACAAGAGGAGTTTTCAAACAAGTTTCGAGGCAAAGCCTGCCTTCTCCTGTCCTGTCTATTGGATCAAAGGCCCTTCTGTTTACAGAATGTCTGTGCATCCAACACATTGTCACTGAATTTAGTGACAGGAGCAATTTTTGGAGAAATGAAAGTGATCTGTGACAGGGTTTGCCTCCCACTCTGTATGGTGGAAATGCATACTAGATTAGTATCACAGTTGTCTTTGCCAGAGTAGAAGTGTGGGTTTTGTTTGTTTTTTTAAGAAAAAGTATGAACCTTTGTGTACCAGAAGCAAAAGTGATAGGAATGCTGGCATTATATGCAATAATCCTTTTTCAAACCACTTCCAGCTTTCTGGGGGATAATTTTAAAGGATGTCTGTGTCAAGCCTAGAGAAGTTTGCCTGAAGACATGTTGTGCACTTCAGTGAAGTGCTGCTCAGCCGCCAGGCTGCTGGACCAGCTCCTAATTTTTGAGCTTGTGGATGGGTGGCGTTTAAGGCCAACCTGCGAGAGTTTATTATCTTTCTTGCTTCTTTGGACCAGATGGAGATGCTGAGAACACCAGGTGAGGACCAGCCCTTGCAGGAGGAGGAACGGCGTCAGATGGAGGAGATTCTGCGGCTGGAGAGAGAGATTGAGAAGCTGCAATGGCAGCAGAAGACAGACCACATGTCCATCACCTGTGAAAACGCCAAGAATGAGATGAAGCGCCAGCGGGAAGAAGAGATACAGAGGCTGGAGAAGGAAGCTTCCAGAGTTGCACAGGAATTTTTGGAGCTACTGGATTTCGGGAACCTGGATGAGAGCGTGCAAGGTTTGGAGCGCTCCCTTTCCAATGAAGGGACTCTCAATATTGAATGTAGCCTCGTGGCCCCCCTGGCTGAAGAAGAAGAGGAAGATGAAGGTTTCCCTGCTGATGAAGAGGGCCCACCAGTCCCCAGCCCAAGTCTCATGAACCAGGACAGCAGCACCAGAACCAGTGATAATTATTACTCTGAGGAAGACACATCTCCTAATATGCCACTGCCTGGGGAGGGAGAAGATGAGAAGATCAGTGCTCTGGATCTCACTACAGAGAGACCTGAGAGCCCCCACAAACAGCAGGCGGAAAACATTTACCAGGCCGTCTCCAAAAGCCTTCCGAGTGAGAATGGGGAAGTGGAAGATCCTATTTACAGCTTGCCTCCAGATGTGGAATCAGATTATGACCACGAGGAGTTTGAAGGCAGTGGTGATGCTGGCAGCTCTTCAGCTGAGCCCCTGCACGGGGAGGAGATCTTGCGCAATTCTAACAGCAATGGTGTGGACTCCAACCGTGGCAGCTTGGACTCAGTAAGAACCCTTTGCCCGCCCGTAGAAAATGGGTCTCTTGTTTAAGCAGGAAGCATGCTTTCCTTTCATCTTCCCTGTGGGTGTCTGCCAGCTCCTTGTGCTCATGCATTACTAGTTAAAGGGTTCCTTGGGGAGAAAAGTGATTTGTCTTAATAAATCTTTGCTCACAGCCTGAGAATCTTAGTCCTGGCAGGAAACGATCAGCTCAAATTCACAGCTCTGATATTGCATCATTACACTTGTTTAAGCCATTGCGATGATTGCTGCCCATAGGATCACCCAGTTTCATCTTGCATAACTGCCCAGTCTCTCTTGGAGGCTTCCCAGCTCAGTGTCCTTGGCAGATTCAGTCGGCACACTCTTGTTAGCAGCCAGTATAGTCAGCAAAAAATATATTGTGAATGTTTTAAGTCTTAAAGAAGTCTGTCTCTTTCAATCCTCCTTGAAAATTGGACTGGGCACTATTTTGCTTTGCTGTTATCCTGCAGTATAGTTTTTGATAAGCCTAAGTAGTCCTGGTTATCCAGTGTGATATAGTAGATAGATAGTAATGGACCAGATTGTTCAATGCCTTGTGCCATTTTAATCTTGGTCTGTGGATTACTTTACCCATATGGCAATATATTCTTGCAAGAACACTATATAGTACTTTCTGTGATTAAGCACATTACATACTGTTGCTGTGCACAGTTTTGTGCCTAAGGAAGATTGTTGGATGTACTCAGTGATGTGAAAAACGGTTCTCTTAAGTGGGACTTTCTATTGTGTGAACTTTTTGTTCTAGAAGCAACGTTCCCCCTAGTTTTTGTTCCCACTGTGCAGGAGTGTCACCCTGTGCATGCATGGAGGGGTGGGGCTCCATCCAAAACAGGACATAAACAAACCTGCTGCCCTTGGGCAGCCCTGATGGAGCTCAGCATGCACACACATGCACATACACATACTGTAGAGGGACCATTGTCTGGGAGTGATTTTTGAAATGTTTTCTATAGTTCTCGGAAGCTATCTCACAGCAGTTTCCCCTTATTTCGACAATCGCAGGGGGTATTGTTTAGCACACTGCTTATCCCTTCCCTTTAAAAAAAAATCTATATTGTTTACAAATTTGATCAGTCCATGTGTGGCAATTCTAGGGATTGGGCAAAGTCGAAGTGAAAGAGAGTCCTTATTCATGGTACAGATGCCTTGTCATTATGAAACAAACAAACAAAAAAACTGTGAGATATGGATAGCGAAACACCCACCTGAACCAAGTTTGGGCAAAGAAGGAGGCTCACACCTGCCCCAATTTCCACCATCCACAAACCCCTGCAAGTACATCTGATAACTACTCGTCTGCTCTGGCTGGTGAAATAAGAAATGACTGGAAGGCCATTTTGCTGAATATGCTATTTGGGACCAGAACAAGGGAGGGAGTGAGTGAGTAGAACTTAATGGGAAAGGCATGATTCTTCCTCCTGCCCTCCCTCCCTCTGCCCAGAAAATAATTTTCAACCATGGGAGAGAGGCTTCAAAGGGCCTTGGGGAACGCCCATTCCTTTTTCTGTTCCTCTCTGACATTCTGTGCGCACTCCATTTGACAGTCAATGCTTCGGTCAGTCAAATGATGTTACCTGAGCCCAAGCCAATAATCCCTGTGATAGCCTCGGGATGAAGGTCATCTGAACACATCCAGTGGATACCCATCCCATCATGAGGCCTCCGTGGGTCTGCGTTTAGAAGAAAAGCATCCTATTTTCTTCTAGTCCTCAAAATAGTCCCCGTGACTAGTTTTCTCTTTGCTATAGTTAGCTGGGATGGTGAAAATAAGAAATATTACTGGAACAGTCTTGAAACTAAAGCTCCATTACCTAATGAATCTTATTATCTACTCTCCTTGGCTTTATGGAACTTGCCTTTAGAAAAAAACCAACAACTACAATTCTTGTCCCAGTTGTCTTTCTCATGAAGTCAAATGAATCACTTGCACTGAGGTTATTCCAAATACTTCTGCCCTTCCCAGCTGCACAAAACATGCCCTCATTATTTGCTAGAACCAAAACCAGCTTAGCATCTCCCCTGCTGAGTTGAGGGAGAACCTGATGATGAAATATATTGTCCACAAGATAAGTGGCAGATCTCTTCGCAAGCTATCCTTATCAGATTTCTGGGCCCTGTTAAATGTTTGTGACTGTTTGCATTTCCAACTGCATCAGCAACATGAGAAGTGCCTCTGATTACATGGTGCTCTGTAATGTTTATTCCTTTTAAAGAGCTGTCTAAGGGCCCATCATCCAGATGTCAGCCAGTGCTGTAAACTGTGGTTAGCTTGGTTACAATTCAAAGTCCACATGTATTTCTTTCCGTGTTGTCATTCATATATGCCTGCCCAGGGGTGGCAGAAGAGGCAGTGAAACGGAGCGATCTGTGCATGTCAAGCACATCCCCTCAACTGATAGGCTGCTTTTTCAGTCATGAGGGTTATTAGAAAGGCAGCAGGCAGATCCCAAGAGAGGTTACTAATATAATTTGCTGAGCATAGGCAAGGCTAGAAGTGATAAGATTGTCCTTTCTTATGGCAAGGCTCCAGGAAGAGTCACGCAGACAAGACAGCAAACGCTTAATTCACAGAGGCTCTTGTTGTGCTAGTTTGAGAAGGGAATGGTATGAGGACTTCTCTATGTGAAGATGTTGCCAAATAGGATGCGGATCTGCTCATTTGGGTCCCTTAAAAGTGCAGTTTTAAAACGCTGAATTATTTTTCAGGCAGGGTTTAGCAACATGACTTCCCCCTCCCTTTTGCCGGATCCATGAGTTGTCTGTTGATCTGTGTGAGTGTGAGCATTAGGCTGTGCCCATGCCAGCAGCTTTCCATGTGATCTGCTGCGGGCACTGTTCTATTGATTGTTTTTAAAAGGAATGCTGCACATGCCACTTTGAGGGCAGTACTCTGTGAACATAAACCTTGTATCAGGAGAAGAGCAGAGGAATATGAATTGATACCCAAAGTAGACAAGCACACATGCTTATAAGAACAGCTCAGGAAGGATTGTGGTTCTTTCAGGAAATCTATAGATGTGTTGAGCTATAACTCCCATGCGCTCCCCATCACTGGCCAGGCGGTCAAATAAATCCTTAGGCCAAGGAGGGTGGCTGCCAGAAAGAAAAAGACAGCCTTGCAACCCATAAGTCTAAAAAGTTTGGTGGTCAGTGGTTCTTACAAGGGCAGCAGGAAGGCAGGCAGGTATTTTGCCATAGACTTTCTCCATTGTGAATAAGGAGGAGGAAGGATTTTTTCCTACGATTTTTATCTGGCTCGTTCAGTAGTCACATCTGTAGACACATGATAGGAGACCCTATACAGTGGGGTCTTGACTTGAGAACTTAATCCGTATTGGAAGGCGGTTCTCAAGTCAAAAAGTCTGTAAGTCAAGTCTCCATTGACCTACAGTGCATTGAAAACCGATTAATCCCGTAACAGGCCGTTTTTGTTCCATTTTGGTTTTTTTCTGGTCTGTAAGTCAAATCTCAGTCTGCAAGTCAAATCTAAATTTTGCGGCCAGAGAAGTCTGTAACTCAAAAAGTCTGTAAGTCAATCTGTCTGTAAGTCAAGGGTCCACTGTAGAGGGTGGTCTGAATTGGAAGACTTCATATGTGCCAGGTTGTGTAGCTTTATTTTATTTTTCCAGAGAGTAATCATGATTTTATCCCTAGTTTCTAGATAGCGAGGATGAAGGAGATACTTATATGGACACAGATGAAGAATTCTGCAGCAGCCGAGTCACCCTACTGAATGGGTCAGGGCCAGCTTATTTTCACAGCTATCTCTACATGAAGGGTAAGCAGTACGGTCAGCCCCAGCTGTTCACATACGTTGCTTTCTACTGGCACCCCTGGAACAAGCTGTGTGCACAGCTGTCCAGGGTCGGTTCCTGGTGACAGATGCCAGTGGCCCACTCTGAGCATTTATTGGCATATACAGGTGCAACAGTTTTCAAAGGTGTTGGCCCTAGTGGGAGTGAGAAGAAACATCATTTTAGCTGTTCTTTGGGTAACAAAAGGCCTTGGGTCAGCATATATGTCTCTTTATGTGCATTTCGCTGTACTGCACTCACTGGCCAATCAGTTTTGGGGGTGGGGTTGTTTCAGTGCTTCAAGGGGTCTTGCTAAAAATCCATAAAGCTCCGCCTTCCCAGTACTCATTCACAGCCAAAGGATAAAAGGGGTTAATGCTCCTGAGCAGTTGCCACAGGGCACCTGTTGGATCATGCCTTGATGAGATACAGCCCAGCTCCATTGTCCCAGATTCTAGTTTTGTAATTCTATTTGTCACATTTACTGTATATCCATTTCTCCTTTTGAAGAGATCAGATCAATAGAAGACAAGTTGTCCCTTCTTTATCTGTGCAACAGATCTGAGAGAAAGATTAGGCTGAGAAATAGAAAGTGGCCTTAGGGGGTACATCGTGAGCTTTGTGGGGGTTTGAATCTAGATCCTATACTTTGTACTTTGCAGTCTTGCTTTGCTTGCTGATGGTTTGCCTTCTCTCCTTTAGCAAGGCTCATCCCTTGATCCATAACAGTGGTGCAGTTGTCCCACTGCCAATCAAGATTAGTGGCAGCATAGCACTCATACCAAAATGTCTGTCTTCCCCATAATGATGATGTAGATTGGAGAGAAGAGAGTTTCTGAAACCGATAGTGTTTCATTTCTGTATTAGCTGCTTAACTCCGCTGTTAGTTTCATATTATGGTTGTGCTCACTATCTGTACAAGAAACTTTTCATTTTTCTGGAGGGTGTTCTGGCATGGAGCAGGAGTAGAAACGTAGCACCATCTGGCCCGCTGATAGTGAGGTGTAGGTGGGGGGGGGCATTTTGGCGCGACAGCAATATTGCCATTTTCTCTTTCCCTCCCTGCAGGGGGCCTGATGAACCCCTGGAGACGGCGCTGGTGCGTCTTGAAGAATGAGGCCTTCATGTGGTTCCGAGCCAAGCAAGAGGCCTTGAAGTCAGGCTGGCTGTATAAGAAAGGAGGAGGCATGTCCACACTCTCTCGACGGAACTGGAAGCGGCGGTGGTTTGTGCTGAGAGAGGCCAAGCTGATGTATTTCGAGAATGACAGTGAAGAAAAGTTGAAAGGGACAATTGACATCAGAAAGGCCAGGTCTGGGAAGCAGGGGTTATGCCAGGGGGAGAATCCTCCCCACCAGGCAGGAGGGGGGGAAGTGCTTTTAGACTGCCATGCCTTATTCAACTGTTATGTACCTTGTTCTCTGCAGTGTGCTCAGAAAGGAGGACTTAGCCCTCCTCTACTTTATCACTGCTCTCTCTCTGATTCATTTGAAGAGGGGAATCTTTTTCCCTGTATGGGCTATACAAGTGAGCAAGAACCTGAGAAAATCTGCCTTTTCGGCTGCGTAAAGAGCATATGTGTGACCGGAAGGCTCTCTGCTTCAGACATGCTGCCCTCCATGTGGAGAAAGTGATGGTGGAGAGGGAATGGTTGATGTCCCTTTGTAAATAGGTCACTGAGAAGTGGACAAATAATGGCTTTGCAGAAAGAAGTTGCTCTCTCCACTAATAGGTGCCTCTCTGCACAGTAGCCCTACAGATTGGTTACTGTCCTGTTTAGAGGGTGTGTCCACTTATATTACTGACAGGAAGTCTAAATTTTTATTGATTGCTATGAGAACTAGAGAGAAAATGTTGCAATCACCTTGAAAGAAGGATTCATATACTGTACTACGTATAGGAGTTTTCTGTATGTTCTGCCTTTTTATAATCTTGCTGGTCTGCAACCATAATAAAGAATGATGATGATGATGACAAATAATGGCTGGATAGGAATTAAGTCCCAGGGTAAAGGAACGTAGGCTCAAAGCATTTGAGAAGGATCAGGGCCTCCCAAAAGAGAACCCTTTGGGCCTATCCTGTTTCATGCTCCTGAGTCCGTCCGTGTTAAGCTATATTCCTGCCTGTGTGGAACTCCTTTCAGTGCATTGTCCAGCAAAGGAACCCCAAAGATGGTTTCTGGGAGTTCTCCGTCTTGCTCCAGATGGTCATTCTCCTTGATTTCTGGATACTATTACTGCCCGTTTGGTGTCAGTGTGGAGGATGTTCTGAAGCACTTTCATGCCATCAGGAGAAGCGTGGAAACTCCTTGATGCCTAGCAGGCCTGTGAAGAGGGAGGTCAAATTTGTTGAGCATCTTTTGACTTCCTGGTTTCTGCCATTGACTATTTTTCAGAGAGATTGTGGATATTCATGAGAAAGAGAATGCCCTTGATATTGTGACAAGTGATCGGGTTTATCACATAGTGGCTGAATCACCAGAGGATGCCAGGTAGGGGATGAAAAAAATAGGTATGTGTTTCTGAAAAATGTCTCCTTCAGAATTCCTTACCCTTTCAGGAAACAGTGGTCACGTTTAATTTTAAATCATTACAAACAAGACGAGCTTGGCAGCCTTGTTATAATTTTAGCTAAATATATTCACAGGTCGATTTCAACTAGTACTGTGAACCCTGCCAAGCTGAAAAGTGACATGTTCTTCTTCGTGGCCTCTGTGAATGCACACTAATGGGTTAAATCTGCACTTGTGCAGAGGCCTCGGAATATTCTAGAGCTTAAAGAGAAAGAGAATGCCCTTGATATTGTGACAAGTGATCGGGTTTATCACATAGTGGCTGAATCACCAGAGGATGCCAGGTAGGGGATGAAAAAAATAGGTATGTGCTTCTGAAAAATGTCTCCTTCAGAATTCCTTACCCTTTCAGGAAACAGTGGTCACGTTTAATTTTAAATCATTACAAACAAGACGAGCTTGGCAGCCTTGTTATAATTTTAGCTAAATATATTCACAGGTCGATTTCAACTAGTACTGTGAACCCTGCCAAGCTGAAAAGTGACATGTTTCCAGATACTTCCATGATAACTTTACTGTATGAGCATTTAATTGTCTGAAGACAGTTTCAACCTCTGTGAACATCTGAACACCTGACAGGAAAAGAGGGTTATATGGGTCTTGCTGTCATTTGGAACAGTGTACAGTGTGGGGAACTTTGAGATTCTGGAGGGTCCCCCAGAAGTGCAACTCTTCATTTATCATAGCCCAGTTCTTTTTCACACACAAAAATTGTATTCCCCCAGTGATGGAGTGTGGGCTCAGAGGCTCTGGGTTCTGCACAGAAGGTCTATGGGCCGCACCTGACTGAGGGGCCACACAGTTCCCACCCTGCTTCAAATGAATGTGGGGAAGTACTGTAGATCTGGGGAAGGCCTCTGAGCGAACCACTGCCATCCACTGTCTGTAAAGATGGGTGCAAATTGTTGTTGAACTGAGTGGTTTGAGGTAAAAAAAAAAGGCAAGTCCTTATGTAGCATTCCAAAGAAGTCAGTGTGTCAACCCACAGATAACAGTCAATGACAGTCATGCCACAACATTATAGGATGAGGTGTCAAGCAAGACACTGTCTAAAAATCTCATTTATTGGCTATCTGATTGTGAATTCTGACTCTCCTTTTTCTTACAGTGACTGGTTTAATGTCCTGAGCCGTGTCCACAGTGCTACTGAGCAGCAGCTGAGGGAGATGCAAGACGAACAAGCCAACCCAAAGAATGCTGTGGTGAGTGGCCGTCAGGTGGAACCCCAGAAAGGAGATTAGGTTTCATCTGTCACGATCCTGGCTGTCTGGTGGCCGATGATGGATGTTTTCTCCTGCTTGCTATCACTGTAGTCCTCAAGTAGGAATCAGTCAACAGAAAGGGGGGAGGGTTGTTATTCATAGGCGCTCTTGAGAGAGAGTAAGACAAGTGAGTGAGTTAGTTATAGAAAGAAGGATGCCTGAAGGATGTTTTTTGTTGTCATTTTAAAGGGAACTCTTGATGTGGGGCTCATTGACTCTGTCTGTGCTTCTGACAACCCTGACAGGTAAGCTAAAGCAGCCTTTTATTTGCTTTGTGGGAGTGTGTTTTATAACTTCCCAATATTTTGATATAGCAACAATTATATGTAACATGGGGGAAAAGCATTTAAATCTATTTCATATTTGGTTAAATATAAATGCAACAGATAAGGAGCTACTTAAAATGCCTTCACTCAGTAAAAATATCTCCCAAACGGCTGTGTTTATTTTTGGAGATTGGTCATTGGTGCCAAAAGTTCCTCAGAGCAAATGCTTTTCTCTCGGTAAATGTTAGTCACCATAGGTTAGGATCGAAGACCTTTGGGTGTTTCCTATTTCAGGAAGGTGTTTGCAACAGTCTGTGTACCATCTGTCGTAGGAGATCACGGGCTGTGTGCCTGGCAGAGAGATTTCTGCTTGGGAGCGACATGACACAGGGCCACTGTCAAATACCTGCTGTCATTCGCAACTTAGTTCACTGAAGGATAGAGAGGTGGCTTCTACAGTTCCTCTCCCATCACCCAGAGATACAAAAAAGTAATTTTTTGTACTGTAAGTCATGAAAAGTCACAATGAAAAGTCACTTTTGATTTCTGTGTCACTACATCCATCATGCCAACCCTTTCCAGAATAGTGCCCCTTTCCGAAGGGGCCATTTCCCCCTCCCCAGCCTTTTGAGGCCTACCTGCTCTTACATCCCTGCCCCTCTTTTTTTGGAGTTCAAGAGTCTGCTGGAGGCCCCAGGCGGGGGGGGGGCACCCGTGGCCTGAAAGCTACATTCTGCCCATCATTGTTCTAGAAGTAAACACTGAGACCTTCCTCACTCTTCATATTGAATCAAGGGAGGAAAACATAATCTTTTGTCCTTGAAAGGGAAAGCAAAATCATGAATCTTTCTCTGTGTAATTGAACTTTAATTTCTTTTAACTCTTCAATCCAAACCAAGACCAGGAAAGCTGCCACTGCTGCTGCGGCTTGATTATTGTAGTGTCAGTGGCATAGTCTTCCTCGCAGAGGTCAATTTTTTAGCCAGCAGTTAAGTTAGATAAGGAAGGGCCAATGTAAATTATTGTACTGCTTGATGAAAGTTTGTAGGGTTGGAACAACCCTTTTCCTTAGGTTCTTATTTTTAACTAGCTCACCCAAAGGGAAGACTAGATTTTGAAGAAGGAGGGGTGCCTGTGATAGGAATGCATTATTGTTTTAAGAACATTACAAGAGCCAGGCTGGGGCAGACCAAAGACCTGTCCAGTCCAGCATCCTGTTTCCCACAGAAACCAATCAAAAGGCCTTGGAGATGTCCTCAAGCAGGACCTTGGAGAACGGGGAGTGCTTAGCCCTTCCCCTCCTCACCACAGCTTTCCGTATGAGGAAAGCAACAAATCTGTAGCAAAGACCTTTGCACTCACCTGCAGGCAATGACATACGAGCAAGAACCCTGATTTTTAACACACAAGCAGGTATGCCCCCACAACAGATATATTCTGGTCCACACACGAGAAGGGAAGGACAAGGCATTCTTCTCTAAGCTTATGCTGAGCATATCCATGGAGCTGACTGCTGCCTCCGCTCACCAGTTGCTGTCAAAGACCAGCCAGACTGCCAGAGGATGCTGCTGCTGCACTCATGTCCTCCCTCGGGGCCTCTGTGAGGCATTTGGTTGGTCGCTGTGGGAAAGAGGATGCTGGGCTGGAGGAATCTCTTTGGTTCCTATCCATGAACCAATGACTAAATACTTGTACTGTCTCCCTTACTGGAGCCAGTGTACGGCAGATCCTGATACTGTGCTACAGATAACTGGTCAGAAAAGCAGGGTCATAGCTGAAGCCAACCAGTATTCCAAATTATAAATGGTTCGTCTGTGAGGAAAGTGTTCTGCCTTTGTTTGGATGTTTCTCTTACTAATTTATTCTCACAGGTACTCATAAATTCAATTTACGTGCCAGCACATGCTTCTTCTTTTTTTTAAAGACCCTTAGGGTGTGCTTCTGAACACCATGTTCCTTCATTCTGGCCCTTGGAAGTGGGACAAGGGAGCTTCAATGCTTCCCCTTGGAACTAGACATTGCCGGCTTTTGACGGAGGGCACAGCAAGACATCCCTGCCAGGACTCTTTGGCAGAGGATGTTCTTCCACCACCAGTTGCTTGTTGTCTGGATTAAAAGTGTGATTTAAAGCCTAACGTATGGGAGAGGAATTTGCCTCCATGCTGCTGGCTGTGGTGCCCAGCCGGGACGAGCTGACCTGTTTCTCTCCCATTCTGCAGGCCGAATTCCTTTGTGATTATCACGGCAAACAGAGTCATTCACTGCAACAGTGACATCCCTGAGGAGATGCACCACTGGATCTCTCTCTTGCAGAAGCCCAAAGGGGAGTCCAGGGTCGATGGACAGGAATTCCTTGTGAGAGGTAAAAAAATAAAACCAACAAGGAAGAGCAATGGCCAAATACATTGCAGTGACTGAGGCAGAAAATTTAACCACTTCCCCCTTTTCTGGGACAGGAAAATAGACAAGCAAAGTAAGTTTGATCAATGGGCTTCTCTTTGATGGTCTGGCACTGTAGGTGCCTTGAGGCACTTGCTTTCTTCTGGCAGGTTAGGTTCTCCTGGAATGCAGCTCTCCACTAGTTGCTGTAGCCGTGTGGCATAGCGCTGCCTTGCAAAGGGATGTGAGAAGGCTGCTCCTAGCAGCTGCCGTGACAAGCTGCCGAAGGCCACGGCAGCCAGGGTCGTGTCGTGAACCATAGTGTGAGGTGGTGAAATATCTTGTCACTGTCAGGGATTTACAAAGTGGCCACAGGCAAGCCTCTGGTTCCCCAGGTTCAGCCTGCCACCGTCAGTGTTGGTCTTACCCGGTGACGGCAAGGACTTCTCAGAGAAGAAATGTGGAGTTGGTTGGGGAGCCCCATATTAAAAAAAAAAAAACTACAGTAAGAGCTCACACTCTGAGGCCAGGAAGTAATTCAGACTTCACTGTGCCTTCTCTTCTTCCCTCTGTTCTGTGGCCGCCAGCATCAGGAACTGGAAGATACTATCAGTAGTCACCAGCAGCCGATCCAGAGGCAGGTAGATCTTTCTGTCTGTCTTGAGTCCCTTGAATGCTGTCACTACTCTTCTCTGTTAGGCTGGCTTCATAAGGAGGTCCAGAGCAGCAGCAAGACATCTTCCATGAAGGTAAAGAAACGCTGGTTTGTGCTGACTAACACTGCCCTGGACTACTACAAATCGTCTGAGCGCACAGCCACCAAGCTCGGGACCCTGGTGCTCAACAGCCTCTGCTCTGTGGTCCAGCCTGATGAAAGAGTCTTCAAAGAAACTGGTAAGAAATCTGGAAAAGTGGCTGCGTCTCTCTGTCACCCGCCAGATGCCCTGCAGGGATTTCCTGTCTGTATTTGTGCACAGATGTGAATGTTGTGGAGTATCATTTTGTGTCTTTACAACAAGACACAGGCATAGCAGGTTTTGAGGAAAGCCAGGGCTTTTCATTTAGAGAAGCTGGCGGGGAGAGGTTCAGGACCAGAGGCCATATGTTTGTAGTGACAATGAGTGGGTGGCTGAACTGACAACAAGGGAGGCTTTCATGTTTAAAAACACACACAGGCAAATTCACTCAATCACAAATTCATTCAATCACAAATTCACTCAGTCACTAATTTATTCTCACAGGTACTCATAAATCCACTCAATCACAAATTCACTCAATCACTAATTTATTTTCACAGGTACTCATAAATTCAATTTACATGCCAGCACATGCTTTTTTTAAAAGAAATCAACAGTCATTTGTTCATATCCATCTTTTAAAAAGAAATCAACAGTCATTTGTTCATATCCATCCACACACACACACATCCCATTCAGCTTTCTGTTCACCCTGGGTGAGAAGGAAGAGGGTCCTGTTTCTTCTAGCCTCGCATGGAAGCAAAGCTAGATGCAAGTGGAGGAACAAGCTGCTCCAGTTTTCCATTAGCAGCTTCCTTTCTTTTCGTGCCAGTCTGAAAGAAAGAGAAGCCCTTCTTCCCCCACCCAGCTTGAAAATAGCACTTGATTGAAAGGGCTTGGGAGGTGTAACCATCAGTCCTTCAAGGTCCCTGTTGCGGCAGCAGTGCAGATGTCATTGAGGGTGGTGGACGAGGATCCTCAACAGGCTACACGAAAGACCAGTCATTTGGCTCTAGGCTGCCATACATCTTGTCAGGCGTCCCAGGTTCAAGGGCCCAGCGTCTTCCATTACATGAATCTTGAGCATAAGTGGTTGGAAGAGTCTCTGCCTGAGACAGGGGCTTCCAGTCACAGTGGGCTGTAAGGGAGATATATGAGATTATGTTCTGACTCAGCATAAGGCATCTTTGTGTATACATATACAGTGGTGCCTCGCTAAACAGTTACCCCGCATGACAGTTTTTTTGCTAGACATTGACTTTTTGCGATCTCTATAGCGATTCGCAAAACAGTGATTCCTATGGGGGAATTTCTCTGGACAATGTTTGGTCCCTGCTTCGCGAACCAATTTTCGCTGGACAATGATTTTGACAGCTGCCTCCGGTGTTTTCGGGACCTAAGCTTCGCAAGACAGCTATATAAACAGCTGATCGGCGGTTCACAAAGCGGCTTTCCTATGGCCAATCTTCGCTAGACAACGATGATTCTTTCCCATTAGAACGCATTAAACAGGTTTCAGTGCATTCCAATGGGGAAATGCTTTTCGCTAGACGATGATTTCGCTAAACAGCGATTTCAGTGGAATGGATTATCATCGTCTAGTGAGGCACCACTGTAATCATACTACATTAGTAGCAAACTGCTATCAGGTCTGTGTTTTCCAGTCATCGCTTGTTAGACAACAAGGTATTTTCTGCAATGGCCCTGATCATATGACAGCATTCATTTCCTTTATGTAAAATAATGTTTGCTGTTGTGGGGGGCATGGGATTAAACTGATTCTCTGGGGCAGTGGTAGTACACTTGGGTAACCCAGGTGTACTAATGCTTCCAAAAGCCGTCTCCACTCACTGTTCTGGGCAGGATTTCTGGGCGTTGTAGTCCAAGAGCATACATGAACCCAAGGCTGGGAACCACTGCTCCAGCAATGTTCACACCACAGTGATCATGGCTGTGCGTTGTCCTATTTGGTTGCCTTTTAAGGCTGCAGCCAGGCTGTATCCCAGGTGCATCCCATACTGAGCAATTCATGATGCTGAGGGCTGATTGCTCCCAGCTTCTGCCTGGTGCCGTAGCGCCCACCTTCCTCCTTCACAGCTTTAGTTGTCATTTCTTTGCTCAACAAAGGACTGTAGAACTACCCGCACTGCCTGTTTCTGTTTGTACCGACAGGCTTCTGGAACATTACCGTGCATGGCAGAAAGCACTCATACCGACTCTACACCAAGTTGTTGAACGAAGCCATGCGCTGGGCCTCGGCCATCCAAGGCGTTATTGACAGCAAGGTTCCCATTGAAACTCCCACGCAGCAACTTATTCATGACATTCGGGTAAGGGGCTCCAAGTGACCATTGCAAATGACCATGAGCTAGCTAGAGTCTAATCGAGACGGACCAAAATGCTGGGGGTCATATCAGTGGAACCATGTGTTGCCTTTCCTTTGGTGATTTCTTTTTTCTCTGAGGGCATCCTGGGGACTGCTCTCTGGGGAAGCTGGTATTTTGGGGACCCACCTTCTTCAGGAGGCATCCTAGCTAAGAGAGAGCAAGGTGACAGAGAGACGGAACAACAGAGAGAATGACTATGACCAACACTCCCAGAAAGAGTTAGTTCAGGACATGACAAGATTCCAGTCCACATAGAGAGCCGAGGAGTTCCACCGTTTCACTCTTCAGCGTAGGCCATGAGAAAGCTGCTCCGTTCCAAACTAGATGCCTTAAGATCTGGGATCCTATAGAGTTTTCAGCTCTAGCCCCTGTTGCTTTAAAAGTCTGTAGGTCTCAAGGACCTAGGGTGGACAAACTGGTGTCCGGCTGATCCAGGGCTTCCCCTCAACAGCAGCAGCCTTTTCTTTCTTGATTTTATTGATAGCATAACTTAGCTTAGATGTTGCTTAATTGATTGTGTGAAACAACAGCAGTTTAAAAGCGCAACCCGGTGTGGAGTCTGCAGAATCAATTCCTGCTGGATTCAGTGGAACTCACTAAAATGTAAATGTGTAAAGATCACAATTCCATAGAATCATAGAGTTGAAAGGGACCTCTAAGCCCAACTCCCTGCTCAAGGCAGGAATCCAGTTCAAAGCAGATGTGACAGATGGATACCCAAGTTTTTCTTGAATGCCTCCAGTGTTGGAATGCTCACCATCTCCCAGTTTCCTTTTTTAATTCAAATCCTATAAAGAAAACAAGATTTGTGTCACCTCCACCTCTTCTTGACTGAAATACTGGTGTCTTTCTTTGCAACCCAATCCTGTACATGTCTGTTGTTGTGTGCATTCAAACAGAAACCAATTTATAGTGACCTGTGAGATATTTTAGGAATGGTTTGCCAGTTCTGCAGCACCAGTGAGCTTCCATGACTGAGCGAGGATTCAAACACAGGCCTCTTGAATCCTAGTCTGTTACTCTGTCCATACACCACACTATGTATCCAGGTGTACTCTAAAATAAACATTGCTGAATTCTATGGGGGGATTTCTCCTAGGTATGTTGGTATAACATGGGATCCTCATCATGAAGCACAGGTTGTTCTCTGAACTTCAGTTTATGCTTTCACTATTTTCTCCATGTATTATGTGTTCTGAGGGTGTGATCAGATGGCAATAGAGCTCATGGTTTGGACCATTTGTAGCACAGTCCAGTTTGAGCTATTTTCTGGCAACCAGGTGATATACAGGAAATTGGAAGCCATTTAGACCCAGAATTGCTTCTTTGGATTCATGATGACAGGCCCAACATCTATCACACCTTCCTTCAAAATTAGTTTCTGATATTATCTAGCACAAATAACTTGGTTTTGATCACAGAAGGAGTCTGGCCAGCTCTTCCCTGCCCCCCCCAAGCCAACCACTCATTGGCTGAGCGGGGAGACTCTCCGCCCTGCCTCCGCACCACAGTGGTTGACTGTGTGGGGAGGTGGAGAAGTGCCTGGCAGCCTCTTCTGCGATTAACATTTTTTGGCTGTGGCCATAAACGCAATATGAGAGAAATCTAAGCCAAATCAGGATTGTATAAGTTGCATAACAAATGTTAAAAAGTGGTGTGTGAAGAATTGTTTCCAGTCTATGGCCTCCTTCAAATGTACCAGGGACCCCCAGGTGGCCATATGGCCTCTGCTAACAATGGCCGATTTAAGTCACAGATTGATTGTTCCTCACCAGCATTATTCAGGAGGTAACTGGGGTGCTCTGCATGTAATGCTTTCTCAAACCATGCATCCCTCACTGTTCGTCTTTCCTTAACATAGGTTAGTTCTCACTTCCAAGTTATAATAACAGTTAGTCCTTCATTGTTCTGTATTATCATCCAATGAAGTGGGACCATGTTCTCAGGGAAGTAGTTTTGAAGTTGGAATGCTTAACCCATATACAGAGAGACTCTTGAGGTCGACAAGCCCACACCCGCCCACGTTCAAGGGCAATAAAGGTGCTCTGTACCTGCCTTCTGAGGATTGCACCAGTATTTTGACAAGAAGAGCCATGTTTTCCTATTTAAATCATCAAGATAACTGTGCTTCTAATCCACAATTCCAAAAGAATATATTAATACTGGGATTGCCTGTTACTGCTATTACTGTCAATAGCAGTAGTTTTTCTTTTTTCATTGAGTTCTGTTTTGAGTACTGCCTTCAATCTATCGAATGACTTGTTTCTGAATTGTAACTTAAATTCCTTGTGAGATTTACTTGGATGGCTAGATATGTGTAGTTCTGCTTCTAGATTTATTTTAGGAATTTCAATTTTGAAACATTTTTTTCTTTCATTCTAAAGTAACAGAATTTAGAGTCTACGAAATAGAATCCTGTTATCTCATCCTCCTGTAGTGGAACAGGAGGGCATCTTGTTTAGTAGCGGCAACTGAGGTGTTTAGAGGGAAAAGGTGAGGCCCTGCTAAGGAAATGTCCTTCTTTTGTTGTTCTTGCCTTCAGGAAAACAGCATGAACTCTGAACTGGTAGAACAGACCTACCGGAGAAATCCCATTCTGAGATACACCCAGCATCCTTTACACTCCCCACTGCTGCCACTGCCTTATGGAGATGTTGGCATCAACTGTAAGTCACCACGGGGCTGGATGTTTGGGGAGACACGCTGTGTCAGAGAGAGGAGAAGGAACAATTGGCATGAGGTTGCGTTGGTGAGATGCAGCAGTTATCCAAGCCTCTTGCTTGGAAGTGGGGTATAAAGATGAAGAGCACCATGTTTACGTGGAAGCAAGTCCCACTGGCTTCATTCAGCCATAACCCCTAATAAATATGCAGAGGAGTGTCACTCAACTTGGTGGGATTTTCTTTGGA